GGGGGAAGGAGCCGGGGCGGGGTGGGGCCAAGGGGAGCTGCTGGCTCCAGCCCTTTGGAAGGCTGAAGGGAGCCTGGCCGTCCCGGGGCAGAGCGCCGGGAGGCAGCACCGAGCACACCCGCTCTACCTTGTTGTCCTGCATGTCTCGGTTGGCTCCGTTTTTCAGCAGCACCAGCGTTGCCTCCACGTTGTTCACAGCGGCAGCCCAGTGCAGAGCAGATTTGGGGCCAAGGGGAGCTGCTGGCTCCAGCCCTTTGGAAGGCTGAAGGGAGCCTGGCCGTCCCGGGGCAGAGCGCCGGGAGGCAGCACCGAGCACACCCGCTCTACCTTGTTGTCCTGCATGTCTCGGTTGGCTCCGTTTTTCAGCAGCACCAGCGTTGCCTCCACGTTGTTCACAGCGGCAGCCCAGTGCAGAGCAGATTTGCCTGTGGGGAAATCCAGGCCCTTCAGCAATGCACCAAGGGGGCGGCGTCTCCCCCACCCTCCCTGGGGACCAGCGCCGGTGAAACGCTGCAGCCTAGAGCCAGCTGCTCCTTCCCAGGCCCCGCAGTACCATGGTCATCCACGGCGTTGACGTCGGCCTGGCAGTTGATCAGCTCGGTCACCATCCCTTCCACCGCCAGGCGGGCAGCCAGGATCAGCGGGGTGGTGCCGTCGTTCATCCGCGCGTCCAGGTCCGTCACTCGATTGCGGATCAGGATCTGGGGCGGGCAAGGGGAGTTTTACCATTCCGTGCGGCGAGGCCACGGACCGATCGCCCCCGCGCAGCACGCCCCCGCAATCCAGACCCACAAAGAACCTTCGCCCTTCCACTCGGGCCAAGGCACGGCTCAGTCCGGCGCGGGAGAGCCCCTACGCGGCACATGCCCAGCTCCAGCCTTCGGGGTGGGCCTGCAAGGGAATCCCTCCATGGCTTACCTGGAAGACCCCCTGCGCATCAGCTGCCACGGCCGCATGCAGGGGAGACCTCCCCATGTTGTCTCGGGCATTTGCATCGGCACCCGCGTCTAGCAAGCGCTTCGCCGCGTCCGCTCTCGAATAGCGGGCTGCCAAGTGCAGCGCCATCTCCCCGGTGCGGTCTGTTTGGGCCTGCACGCTGGCGCCCTGATAAATCAAGTCTGTGATGATATTTGCTGAAGAATCTTCTGTGTCTTCGTCTTCATCACTGACCTCGGAGCTGCCCACCCAGCGAGAGGCCAACATGAGGGGGGTGCAGCCATCTGCAGCAGAGGAGAAACCGGAACGGCCTTGTTTGTGCCCCGAAGAGCCAGCGACGCAGCAGCGCCTTTTCCCTCGCCACGCCACGCGACGCCGGCCCCACTGGGGAGCTGCCTGCCAGCCACCGGGCCAGGAGCACAGGTCACCTGAGAGCTGCCAGGCTGCAGAAGCTGAGTGGCCAGGCCCTGCTCACAGCTGGCTCAGTCAGCAGCTGCACTAGGGCCAGAAGGGGAAGTAGCAAGAGAGCCCAGTGGTCACACGGGCCAGGCCGGAGTAAGAGCACCCCAGGACACGCCCAGACGTTCCAGCGCACCCCTTGCTGCCGCACTGGCCGGAGAAAGGCAGCCGGCCTGGCTCAGCGCGGCCGCACAGGACCATGCACCTAGGCACTTCGGCCGGCAGAGCCCCGGGGACGCCCGCAGCGGAGGAGAGGCAGGGCGCAGGGGCGGCCAAAGGGAGCACGGTACGTGAAGCGAGGCCATAGGGCTGCGGCCCTGTCTGCTGCCAACCCGCCCCAGGACCAAAGGGAGCACGGTACGTGAAGCGAGGCCATAGGGCTGCGGCCCTGTCTGCTGCCACTCCGCCCCAGGACACAGCCCACGCTTGTGCGCACAGCCGACCACGCCTGCGTGTTACGTAGCTGGCTTCCCCATTCTGTGGTCAACGGGATCAGCTCCCGCTCCCGCCTCCGCGCAGGCCACACACCAGTGCAGCAATACCACCCCTAGTCGAGAGACGCTATTGGTCATTTCCAGCATAGGAACTCAGCCCTCACCTCCGCTCAAGCGTGCCGAGGCCGCTGCCTTTGGGAGTTTTATTGCCTTCAGGGGCCTCCGAGACGGCCCTTAGTCAGTGCGCCCAGTCCCCCCTTGTGTGAGCCTGGGAATTCTTTCACGCTACACTCCAAGCAGCACCGACCATGGGTCTGTCTCCACAGACATTCTAGTCTGCACAGTAGGAGTGTCTCTGTCTCCCTGGAGCTTTTGGTCAGACACTGGGTTAGATGCAGCTGTTCTAACTCTAGGAGCTGTCCGTAGGCCTACAAGCACACACACTGGGTTAGATGCGGCTGTTCTAACTCTAGGAGCTGTCTGTAGGCCTACAAGCGCACACTGGGTTAGGCGTGGCTGTTCTAATCCTAGGAGCTGTCCGTAGGCCTACAAGCGCACACACTGGGTTAGGTGCAGCTGTTCTATCCTTGGGAGCTGTCCCTAGGCCTACAAGCGCATACTGGGTTAGACGCGGCTGTTCTAATCCTAGGAGCTGTCCGTAGGCCTACAAGCGCACACTAGGTTAGGTGCGGCTGTTCTATCCTAGGAGCTGTCCCTAGGGCTACAAGCGCACACACTAGGTTAGGTGCAGCTGTTCTATCCTTGGGAGCTGTCCGTAGGGCTACAGCTTCTCTCAGACACAGGGCAGACTGACCTGGCCCTCGCACATTGACGTCCAGCCCCTCCGTCTCCAGGGCCTCCTGCGGGGGTGTAAGGGCCAGGGACGGAGTCCCGCAGATGTCAGCTGCCTCCAGGTGTTGCTGTGTCCACTGGCGCTGATCTACCTGCTCCTCGCCTTCCGACAGCAGAGCCTGCGCTTCAGCCTGGCAGGGAAACGGAGCGTGTAAAGTCCCAGAGCAGCCAGTGCTGAAGCAATGACTCGGTGTTGCAGCTCCCACTGGGCAATAGCTGAGCAGGGCTTGCAAACGCCTCCTCCCCCGGCAGGGCATGAGCGCTGTCCAGGGAGGGCTCTGGCCCGGAGCGCGCTGCTCCGAATCGTGGCAGTGACCGGACGCTGGGACCCCGTTGGAGGGTCTGTGAGGTGCGGTACAGGGGCACGTCACACGAGCACAGGCGGCAGCAGGGGGTGAGAAGGGAGCGGTCAATGCCTAGCACCAGTTACCTTTGCTCTCTTAGGCGCTGGGCCTCCGTTCCCTGTCCAGGGCTCGGTGGGGCTGCAATCAGCCAAACTGCCCTCTGCGGCTTGACCGGACAGATCCCTAAATCAACGGGAGAAGACGTGTCCTCAGCCGGCAGCGCGCTGCCTGGAACGTGCCCTGCGTGTGCCGCGGTCCCCGGGAGCGACATGGCCCAGAGCCCGGTGGTGGCAGCAGGAGAGTGAACAACGGACGAGACACGGGCAGAAGAGGCGCCCTGCTGCCGAACTGAGCTACCTCCCAGACCGGCCAGCAGGAGTCGCCACCGCAGCGAAGCCTAGGCGGTGGCACTGTGGTGGAGAACGTGGGCATGCAGTGCCCCCGACCCAAGCGGGAGAGAGCGGACTGGCGGGCAGCACCTGGACCGAGACAGAGGTGCTAAGGGTGGAGAGGGAAAAGATGAGGCTTGTGGCTTGGCTCACTAGTCCCTGCTGCTGTCCAGGCGGGCACCCCGGCCCTACCGTGAGCCAGGCATTCGGGGCTGCTCTGCCCGTGGGCACAGGGGCACCTTAAGAGCACAGAGACCCTGCCCAACGGAGGAGGGCGGGACAGGGCCTCGGTGAGGGGGATGGGGGGCCCCAGACAGGTTGGGTCTGTGGGGAGCCTGGGCACCTGAAGAGGCAGCGTCCCCAGGGAACCGGCAGGGCCCAGACTAGCCCTGGAGAAAGGTCAGCGCCAGACCCTCTAGGCAGAAGCTGCAGCTGGCCACGGAGGCAGGTGCAGACGGGGGAGAACGGCGTGCCAGGCTCCGGCCGTGCCCGGACGAGGACACTGCCGTGCAGGGGGCGGCAGAGCGGCGAGACCCCGCGCCGCGCACAGGGGCGAGTTCCCAAAGCGAGCAGCGGAGGGGAGTCTGCGCTCCATTAGTCCCTCATTGCCACAAGCCAGCGGCACCGAGCTCTGCGCTTGGTTAGCTCAGTGGCAAGTCAAGGGACGAGCCGAAGGGCAGGCCATGCTCAGACACGTTCCTATTTCCACCCCCCATGCTGGTCGCTCACCCCGCCTGACCCTAGGGGCAGTGCAAGACTGTTACTGACAGCGGGGTTCCCGGTGCTCGTGCAAAGCCCTCTAGTCCAGCAACACCCGGCGCGATAGGAGCTAGCTGGATGCCCACTTCGCCCGGGTGTGGCCACGCTTCCCGTGGGCCCGGCGAGTTTGCTTACAGCCCCCAGCCCTGGCTCTCGGTGGCCAGTGCTGCTAGCTCTGATCGACCCTGCTTGTCTTCTCGGAGCCCTGCAGGCAGCAGAAGTCCCGACCTCCTGGGGCTTGGCGCCGGCCAGGTCCCCGGGGTGCTGGGCTAGAGAGGTTCCACCTGCAGTTTGAAATGAACCCTTGGGCAGGGGCTTCCATCTTTAGCCCTCTAGGAGTTCGTCCCGTGACAGACCATCCCGAGTGGCCGTCTGGCCAGAGAAAGCGCGCGGCTCAGCCTGCAGTGAACGTTCCTCTCCCGTCGGATTGCTGCACTGCCGGGGGGGCTGGCGCGACCAGCACACACCCGTCGGATTGCTGCACTGCCGGGGGGCTCGCGAACACCTCCCCGCGCCAGCACAAAGGCACCGCGCGACCAGCACACACCCGTCGGATTGCTGCACTGCCGGGGGGCTCGCGAACACCTCCCCGCGCCAGCACAAAGGCACCGCGCGACCAGCACACACCCGTCGGATTGCTGCACTGCCGGGGGGCTCGCGAACACCTCCCCGCGCCAGCACAAAGGCACCGCGCGACCAGCACACACCCGTCGGATTGCTGCACTGCCGGGGGGCTCGCGAACACCTCCCCGCGCCAGCACAAAGGCACCGCGCGACCAGCACACACCCGTCGGGTTGCTGCACTGCCGGGGGGCTCGCCAACACCTCCCCGCGCCAGCACAAAGGCACCACGCGACCAGCACACACCCGTCGGATTGCTGCACTGCCGGGGGGCTCGCGAACACCTGCCCGCGCCAGCACAAAGGCACCGCGCGACCAGCACACACTTACTTCAGCCCCACTGCGTCTTCCCCAACGGGCTCTCTGCGCTTGCTGTTGCTGGGGTCCCGGCGCAGAACGAAGCCCTCGGGCAGCCAGAGGGAGCCGTGCTTGCGCTTCCTCTTTGCCAGCAGCACCCCCAGCAGCAGGATGAACAGGACGATCACAGCTACCACCGCAAGGAGATACAGCAGCTGGGGCTCCTGGGGCAGCCACGGCTCACCTACAAAGACCA